CCGACACAGGTTGGGCGCCTTGGATCAAGGGAATTGTATGATCACAAGAGCGCCGTGGAGGAAGCCCTGTTGCAAATTCATCCAGAATAGCTTGGACAGCCGGATCTACCATTGAATGTTCAGACTGAGTTGGTACACTGTCGAGATGATATAACTAAATCATCGAGCAAGTATCTGTGTCATCGGACTGTCCTTGGAGCAGAATTTGAACGGAGCCATAAGGAATCAACATCCACTTGTGTATCCAATGCACTTTCATCGGTGAAAAGGCTTCCAACCAATCCATGCCGACAATCATGTCATAAGAGGACAGAGGAAGCATCTTGAGGTTAAAATGAAATTCATAACCTTGAACTGACCACACTGCCATTGGGAGCTCCTGGGAACAAACAATAGACCCACCGTCTGCAACTTGGACAGTAACAGGTGACTGAAGTTGGCAGAGACCCGAGAGTTTACTGGCAACAGAACTACTGAGGAAGGAATGACTGCTGCCCGAATCCACGAGGATGAGAATTTGCTGTCCATGAATATCTCCTTTGAACTGCATAGTGCGAGCAGAGGCACGACCAGACATAGCCGCGGCTGACAAAAGCAAGAATAGCTGTTGCTGTGGAGTGTCAGTAACGGCTGGCTGACTTGTTTCACCTTCATCCAACTCAAATGCATCTTGACATAGGTTTCAGACTTCCTGAAGGGCGTGCAGCTGGATTGCTGGAGCACACTTGTGGCCAGGCTGCCAACGCTCACCGCAGCGGATACAAGACCACGAGCCTTGCGGTAGGAGCGTAATGTCTGGAATTTGTCATCCATACTGACAGGCTTGGGAGGAAAACGGCGGTCTTCGGTTGGCTTCTTGTCATCAGGAGGCGGCCGTGCGCCAGCACGTACAGGCGGAGGAGGCAGGGGAAGAGCTCCCTTCGACGCCTGCGGCTTGGCGAAGGGTGATCCATCAGTCTTGCGGAATTCACGACGTTGCCCCGGCTCGACAGCTTCCTCCTGCAAGAGAGCCAACGTACACGCAGTATCCAAGTCTTGTGGATGCTGAACAAGAATAATTGATCGACTATCTTCACGGAGACCGTCAACGAATCGGGCAGTGTATGACAGGTGGTCGGGGTTGGTTGTATAGGCTGAGAGTTGTTCGATGAGGTCGACAAAGCGATCCACATAGTCCTGAACTGATGTAGTTTGTTTGATGTGAAACAATTGACGCAGAAGCAGTTCATGTTGATCACGGCAAAAGCTCTCGAGGATAAGACGACAGAAGGATGGCCAATCCAGACCAACAAGTTGGCGTTCGACCGATTGGAACCAATGACGGGCAGCACCAGTGAACTGCATCGTGGAACATTTTACCCACATAGAAGGATCGACGGCGTACAGATCGAAGTAATTCTGGGCACAAGTCATCCAATACTGAGGGTCGTCGCCGTCGAATTTAGGGAAATGCATCTTAGGAAGATGGCCGAGGGCCGTAGTGTGTGCTGTGTAATTGGGATGAAGGGTATGTGGCTGGTGGGGAATTGGTGGATTGGGGTTGTAGTGCGGTGGAGGGTTGAGTGGTGGAGGATTGGGTGCAATTTGGGAAATTGGAGGATTGGGTGCGAACTGAGGTGGGGGATTTGGTGGAGGAGGGTTGGGGACGAACTGGGGATGTCGGAACTGCGACTGAAGAACAGGAGTACCGGGGTTGGGAGGGAAGGACGTACCATTGGCCGGGGACGACGCTATGGTCATGACCGAGCCATAGGCCAGCACCCGTGTAGTCATGGCGACGCGGTGCCCGTTGGGCCAGTCGACTGTGCTCCCGCCAAGATGTTGCTCGGTGGCGGCCAACTCCGGACGTGCCATCGGCAGGGGTTGCCGGTTGGCGCCGCGGTAGACTTGGGGAAGCGGCGAAGCTCGTAGTGGATGTCGTCGATGTGGCCGTCGACCTCCTAACGCCACGACTACATCTCGCCGACGGCGCCCTCTAGTGTCTCCACCTAGTCGTCCCGCTCATCCCGGATCTCAGCCAGCTGGATGAGTTCGAGATCCTCCATGCGCTGCTCCAGATCGGAGACGCGCGAGTCGAAGTGTGATCCCCAGTTGTCGGTGACAATGGCGGCGGTGTACTGGGAAGATGCAAAGCTCTCCAGGGAGGCGATGCGGGCGTCAGCAGCTTCCTCGCGCTCCCTAGGGCGAAGGACACATCCTTGAAACGCTTCTCCAGGCGCTCCCAGCGCTCGGCGGAGCACGAGTCTTGCTCATCCATCCGCTTGAGCATTTCGTCGAACGTCTTGGTGACGACGGGATCCATCGCTCCCCTTGCCCGCTGCAGCCTAGTGAAGTGCTCGTGGGAGATCAGCGCGGGCTCCAGAGCTCACCGGGATGACGGCTTGGATACCAGGTATGTTAGCGACCCGATCGACGAGACCGGACGCGAGGAAGAAGCACAATATTCTCGGGCTAATGAGGTCCCGGATACAAGCGTGAACTGGTTTAGGTTACAAGAATATCGATGATGCCCTCTCCTGTGCTCTACCTCTCCCTTTCTACTCTCCTACAGCTGGGGCGCACTGGATACAAGCCCACTGCAGGCCGTGGACCTTGGAGTTCTTGCGACGGGCCTGTTTGCTCCTCCTTGGCTACTGGGCCGACTTGGGCTGGCTTAGATGAGGCATCGTGACAGAAAGTGAGGGCGAGGTGCTCTAGATCCTCATGGTCATGGACGAAGACGAGCGCGGTGGTGCCAATGGCAAAGTCAACGAACAGGCGCACCTGGTCGGCAAGTCATGAAAGGTGTTGCACGAGCTCACATGCAAACCTGCCTTGCTGCGGTAGTGGTACATGCCTCCAGTGTAGCACCCACAAACACGAAGACGATCATGCTGGTGTGCGGCTCCCTTATCACCGCCCTGGTGATCTTCTTCATTGGAGCAAGGTATGGTGGCCTCGGAACCTAGAAGGTAATGGTGAGCGTGGTGATGGCTAGAGGCGAGGTAAGGGTAGTCACCATGGAGGTGGTCCACGTCTGTGAAGGGTCGTGGTCGTCACCGAGCCATTGTACTTCAACGAAGTAGTGGATACCATATTGCTCACAGTAGAATTGAATCTGATCGGTACGTCAAAGAGGAATATCGTGGACATGCTCGAGGTCACTGCAGGCATGGACGATGTAGCTGGAGTCGGTTCCATTGTCGAGTCAGAGTACTTCAGCGAAGTACTCAATGACAACCGACGATAATGATGAAACCAAAGTCACGACGATCATAGGGGCGTGGCTAATCCCCACAAGCTTCACCTCCATCATGTGCATCAAGTTCACCATCTCCTGAGAGAGAGAATCAATGCTTGCCGCCAGTGAATCAACGGCGATGAAAGATGGTGTGGACACTAGGAAACCATGGGCGCAATCGAATTGGGAAAAAATTATGGTTCCCCAAATCCAAGGCTCTGGATACCAATTGTTACGAACCTACACTACTAAATCACAAGTACAAGAGTACTTGATACAAATTGGGAAGAATCAGAGGGAATCTAGATTGGGAAGAGCAAGGAATCAAGAAAAATAGCAAGAGGAACTATAGGGGAACTCTCAGACAGGAGGTAGACAAAGGTACTATTCTTTGTTGATGCCCTCTCTGAATGTCCTCCTTGCTTTAGTAGCTGGAGTCCTTCTTCAGTCAAGCCCTCTTAGGTAGCCCGGTCTCGGCCCACAAGGTCACATAGAACCCCAGTCCATGACACACATGTTTGGGGCTCAACTTCATCTAGGATTGGCCACCCACATGTCACCTAGGACAATAGGACAATCACTAAGTTTCTCCATGAATGGACATGCTATCTTTAGTTGCATCACTAGGGGTGCTGAAGAGGGGTCTATGGTCTATAATCCTACTCGTGCCATGGAACTCTAGAAATAAAGACGTCAATGGGACTTTCCAACACAAGATTAAATAGAGGAGGCACAAGGATGGTGCCTCTTATGGGCCAGGCATCTTGCAGCGCATTAGTGTATCATTTTGCACCGGTTTTTCTTTACATGTTGGACTTTCCTATTTCTATTTCCTTTTTCCCTTTCCCTTGTTATTGTTGTACAACCTTTGGCCTTTTACATCCTTGTACCAAACCCACCTCCTATTTTGTCTGAACGAGAAAACAGAGAACTGTTGAGACATATAAAAATAAAAGGAGAAGCATGTAGAGTTTACGACCATTGTGTTACAATGATAAACAAGGGAGATCAATTTCTCAAGCATAAAAATAATTACATGAAAGGATCATGATAGGCTTGATTCCTAAAATGGCTATACCTCCTTTGTCAAGTCGATAATCTGTAGGTGAGAAAAATTAATTTCTTTCTATCCAGATCTTCCTTGTAGTTGTTGTGCCCTGAGTGCGCACACATAATCAAATAAATCCATTGATAGCTTTGTACTCTCTCTTGTTTTTATTGTGTGCTATGGACATGTATCAGCTACCTTGTGTGCATATGCTTCTTATTGCACCATCAACATGTTTCTCTTCCTTTTGAGGACTTACCACCATATGTAAACGTATTAAATAGACGTGGCATCTTTTTCTAGTATCGGAATTTGGTAGCTTGTTCATTTGCATTGTTATTCACGTGAAGCTAGATCATGTGGACGCATGTAGGATACACGACTGATTGATGGCTTTCCAGGGTGGATGACCCTGAATCCTCATCCAAACCTTCTCCGCTCTATAAAAACCGTTGTCCACTCGCATTGCTAGAACCACAACACAACTCATACATAGCAATCAAGTTTCTTTAGAAACAGGTCATAAACCGCTATCTTCTTGTGGTAAATTAGCTTTCCTTTGACTAGTTTGTAGTTATCTGCAATTGTATAGTTGCTAATTCTCTTCTCTTAATGATCTATGAATCTTATATAACATAGCTTGTTTATGTGATGTACCTTCAATTCATGCTACCTACTTTAGTTTTAGTTAATAACAGCGTTATTGATTGATTTGATAGCTATTGACTGAATATGAGCTCCACGACGGGGGTTCAGAGCACTGGTGGCGTGTGGTCATGGCCTAACATTATTGGGTTTACAATGGAAGATGCCATGATGGTCATCCTTAGGTACAAGCCTGATGCTGATATTGTCTTTCTGCCAGTCGGCTCGCCGGTGACCACAGACGATTTCCGCCCCAACCGCGTTCGCATCTTTCTCGACACTATCATCTACCCGCCCCGTGTGGGCTAGCTAGCTTTGCTATAGAGCTGAACAATAAAATGTATGATGCTAAGAAAATCATTCCTGCCGATACATATCTTCTATATGGATGTGTGTTACTTTCCTATAAACTAAATAAGTGGGGTGGTCTGCACAATTGCGTGTCTTGGTTTCTATCATCAATTTATGCTTTACTTTGCTGCCGCTTCTGTTTCATCAACATCTGATCCTTGACATATATAGCTTGAAATTGTGCTTACCATAGTAGGATTTTCCCATGTTTGGGTTGTATTATCATCTCTTTACTCTATTCATATAGATCTCCACATGAACTTATTCTCATTTTTGTTTGTTATTACAACCGGAATAACTATTTTTAATTGGAAAGTCATGCACCATTACATATTCTAGTTTACAAACTGCCCTTTTCACTATCGTCTCAAATGCTATATGATTTTGAGATCCACATTTCAAGCTGAGTGGAATAACCTATAATTTATACGGTTTCCATCCTATGTTTTTGTAAATCAGTGGTTTTGTTAGTGATTCTATTGATCCTATAGATTGTGGTTCGACCATTATGATTTGCGGGCTACATATTACTCCACTATGCGGATGAAGCTACGACTAGAGCTAGGGGTGAAAGCCCAAGGTAGTGGCTCACTGATCCTCCCTTCCTTCATGGTTAAGTCGAGCCCCCCACCAAGCTCCCTATCCAACTCTTCCTTGTCCACACGTGGATCCTTTGATCCTTTAACCTATCATATCTCTCACATGTTTTCCCGAGTATCTCCACTCAGTCATGAGGACTTCCTTATCTTTCCCTTAACCCTTTGGTAGTTACCTAACCTACCCTATTTATTATAGGAAATCAAACATCTCTATCCAATATGTGCAACCCCTGGCCGATCGTTCGGTGAGGTCCAACTTGATGGTGACAAAAGTTGGTCAGCTTACTGGAGTGCACTGTGTGATCCAGTAGATACTTCATGACTCCTCGATGGACCATCTACTAGGCCAAGCTTGACTTTATGATAAGTTGGTTAAGTCTCGTTACTACGCCATATCATCTAGTGGGAGAATATTTTGGTATAATACTTTCTAGTCATTATAATTTTAGGTCAGATCAATAGCACCATATGATTTGGTGAAGGCAGTGGTGGTTGGTGGATCATCTGGTGGTGTTTGCGTCTACCAGCTTTTTCCAATGTCTAGCAGCCCCTTCACCCTCTATATATGTGCAATCCCTGCCCCATTTGAAGCTTCTCTTCCACCCCATAAAGGACTGTGAAGCTATTGAAATGCCATCCAAACTAAGAAGTGAAGATTGAAAGTTAGCCTTGAGTGCTACTGGTGTTCATGGTTGGGTTTTTTGAGTTAAAACTAAAGACTTGTTGCTTTTGGTGATTGCCATCACCTAGATATATCTTGGTGAAAGACTTGGTGACCCTCCTCGATGGAGTTCTTGTTGAGGAGGCTCCAAAAGGTACGGTGTATGTGGTTTGAAACCCACCATTCTGGAATGGAGAAGAGCAAACCAAGTATTGGTGACTCCTGGTTCTCCAATGTGGATTAGTTGGTTGTGGCAACAACTCCATACCATAGAAAAATTTAGTTGTCTCTTTCCATTTCTCTTGTTCTTACTTCACATGTTGTTTAAGCTCTCGCTTATTAGTTTGTTGTGTGCAAGTTCTTATGATGGATGGCAACTAGGATCATATGTTAGAGTGCTCAACATAGGTTTTATATACAATTGCTTGTAAGGATAATATGATTAGTGTGAACCTTGCTAAGGACTAGTTTAGCCTCGTGGCCCTAAGGACGCACTAGTGTGCTTTTGTAGCAAACTTAGATGCCACCGTGCAAGGGGGTTTAAATTAAGTTACACAGGCTATGGTTGCCACCTCAACTTTTTAGAGCCCAATTCACCCTCTCTTGGACCATTCAATCATTACACTAGTAGTCAAGTCCATCATGACCATTCATTGGGCGTCATAGCCAAGCTTGCAATGTGCATCCATCATGACTCCGTCGCCAAACCCTAGAGGTGGTTCGGGGGCGGTCTAAGGATCTCACCCTTCTTCCCCCTATCTCTCCTTCTAGGGGTAGACCTTGAATGCGCGTATGCTTCTCTTTTACCAGTATGTATCCATAATCATTATTGAATGAAGTAAGTGTTGTGTCTTAGGCCCACAGTGGTCTTTTGGCTCTCAGCATCATGCGGTGTGGGTCTGGTGCCGTGCAACATCGAGGACTACTGGTGCTCCATGTCATCCAAGTCTTGCTTTGCTCTTCACAGTTCCCTAAAGCCTATCTTGGACTCTAAAGGATTGCTCCAAGCTTGTGCACAAAAAGTGCCAAAATATGCTCGATTTCTTGCAATTTGGCAACAAGCTCTAAAAACACAAGATGTTGTGCTATGTGGTAAGCATTAGCACTAAGTTGCATTAATCTTGTAAAATAGTAGTACATAATAGTTAAAAGTAAAGCAAAAAGATATCAATAAATAGCACCAACAATTTCTCACTGCTAGTTGATTAAACCTACAGTGGCAGCATCTGACACTACCGGTTTAGAACCCAACAATGAGAGCTATGACTGTCATTCTCGGGACCAATTTCTGATTGTGATGGTTGGTATGGAACAACTGGTAGTACTAGGCGGTTCTGTAGTAGTGATTGGATTACAAACACTATAGTAACCTTCATTTGGAGTTACCCTGAGCCTGAAGTCAACAATATCAACTTTCCTTTGCTGTTTGGTATGTGTGCCATGTTTTTATTATACTAGCAAACATGCACATGCGTTGCAACGAGACCCAATACATATAGGAATCAGACTCCATATCATCACTAGATGCGAGTTGTTCTAACTCATATGAGTACGGGTCATGAGCAGGATCACTGATGAAATACGCATGACATGACCCAATACATATTGGAATCTGACTCATTGGACCATCCAAATGTCTAGTGAGCCTTCACTCATTGCATTACGGTTTGGACAAGAAGATTATTTCTATCGATGTTTTGGGTGGCTTATATATTTGTTCGCCGTCTTGTTTTTTCAAATATGTATTGAAGGCCGTCAAGTTGCTCTGGTTGAAATACTAGAGATCCTGACTGTAGTGTGTGAAGAGCACAAGCTTCCTTTAGCACAGACCTGGGTTCCTTGCAAGTATAGAAGTGTATTGGGGCTTAGAGGTGGTTTAAAGAAGAGTTGCTTAAGTTTTGATGGATGTTGCATGGGAGAAGTCTCCTAACTCGTATGAGTATAGGTCATGAGTCTAGATCACATACGAGACACGAAAGGCATGAGTGCAATTGGGGAAGTAGAACAAGCGGAACGGAAGAAACCATAGAAATTAGAAGCATGCTATGTTTTGATGTCTAAATGCTTGCTTTTTTGACTCTGGTGGTTTATGCACTCTAGGGAAGTATTATTTTCTATTATATAGTGGCAGAATCACTGTACGAAGTCCTATTTGAACAAGGACCATAGTCCTATATGGGCTCTGTACCATTTATGTTGTATTTTGATTAATAATTGGTTTTGAAGTAGAATTCTGAAAACTTTTTTCTTCTCTATATCTATATGATTGGGTTGGATGAAAATTTAGAGATGGCAGAAATTTTGGCTCTTTAATATTAGGTATAGATTAAGGCATGTGTGCAATCCAGGTCACAATGATGTGTGCGTACATGTGCTTTGCAGTTTTATTGAAGATAAACATCGTCGTATATGGGATGGCTTTTTGTAGTGTTACACCATGTGTGAGCTATTGAAGGCAGCAGTTATGAGATAAATGATATGTTACTATGTGTGCATGTCATGATTATCCATGGGCTTTCTATGCCTTATGCGCATTTGTCGTTAACAAAACTTTTGAGCTATATATGTTTCCATGTGTAAAGCTCTTAAAAATCTGATGACGACAATGGTGGTAAGGACAACCAGAGTTTATTCATTTTTTTGTGTGCATGGTTATCTTGACAGGGCAATTGTCGTATGTGAAAGGCGACTACAGCAAGTTAACGAACACTGAACACACTCTGGCGGGTCGATAAATACACTGTACTACTGCACCAGCTTCATATGTACACAACTCATAGTCACCAATTCCATAGACAAGTAAGTTTCCATAGGTGAGCACGAGCTAGTGTCCATGATTGATCACTTGATCTCCAGCTTACTGATTTCTATATTGTTCCGGATTCTATTCATATTTATCTGTGCATGCAGATCGACTGAGTAATCCATCGTAGGTGAGCTCCATCATGGATATGACCAGTGACCAGAAGAAAACATGTTTTTTTGAGGAAACTCAGAAGAAAACATGTTGGCCCGAGTTTGTAGGCCTGTCCATCACACAGGCAGTCCCAAGCATTCTGAAAGACATGCCTAACGCCGAAATTGAAGTGCTGGCTCTTAGCTCGCCTATGACTCATGACTTCCGCCCCAACCGTGTCCGCATCTTCGTCGACACCGTTGCTCAGACCCCGATGGTTGGCTGATACAGTTCAGTCTCTACCTGCTGGATCTACCAAATAAAGAAGCTACCTTTTATTTCCTAGTTAATAAATCTAGTCTTTCTTGGTTGTGCTTGAAGATGAGAAAAAGGAAGATCTAGATATATAGCCCATGTATGGCTATCCTGAATAATCTTGATGGAATAATAATAAACAATAATTTAGATGCATGTATATACTATGTTTATGTCCATGTCCATGTCAATGGTGACCCATCTCCCTAACTTATCATAACAAAGAAAATGCCCAACACATGCAAATGCAACTCTACAACCCACATATATTCAATTTCGATTTCAAAACCAACCGTGAAAATTGGAAATAAAAATATGTTAACTTGATGGATCAAATTTTGTTTTAAAGTGAGACTGTCTACACCCCTAGCTAGGCACACCCAATTTTATCTATCAACGTAGTAGTGAATTGTTGTTCTTTGTTATAAGGTGAGCTCAGGCACACTAGCCTTATGCTTTTCATGAACTATTGGTGTGTGTGTGTGTGTGCGCGCGCGCGCGTGTGTGTGTGTGATGTTCCATTTGGTAACAGAGCTCAATGTAATCTAGTTAATATGCGCCTATGTGAAATCTCCATTTACATTTCAGTTTGAGATAAGCATCACTTTTTTAGGTGGATGCGTTATAGTCCTAAAGGCATGCCTATCTCGTCACGCTATTTTCGTGATTGATGTGCGATGCGTGTCTGTGTGATTGAACAAAGTTGTTGATAGCCTTGTCATGCTCTCCTTTTGTTGTTACTATGTGCCCATAATAGCTTGCATGCATATACTTTTCTTTTGAGGAATCATCACCATCTACAAACAAAGTAAATGGATGTGGTGTCCTTTCTGGTGTAGGAATTTTTTGGCTAGCTTAGAAACATGTGTATGTTCATTTCACATTCATATATTCACATGAAGTTGGCCATGCAGATACACGTAGGATACATGATGGATCAATATCTATCTAGGGTGTATGACACTGAATCATCATCCAAATTAACTTTATCTGCACCATTAACACAAGTGTCCACTTGCATTGCCATCACCATGACACTACTAAGATCTAAGATCTTCACACACAATAACCTCTTTTGAAATTTGAATGAGTTTGTCTCATAAGAGATGGTCTATACGTTTTGGTTGCTAGTGCGTGTTATTGAGGAGAAACCAAAGGACTCAATGCCATGGAAAAATGGCAAAATAAAATCAAATATTTCTGACATTTTCTGAGAGAATGGGCAAAAAATACAACATGGCTGAATAAGAAAGGGAAGAAGAAACTAGCTAAAGGACCGAGCAAAGCGATGACCAAAGGGGGGGGGTGAATAGGAGCCTAATCCAATTTTCTTCTGATTTAGACCATTGTCCCAATTTCTAACCCGAAGCACTCACCGAGACCAAAAAACACTTCGAGGAGTACACATACGCCAACCGGTGGCTAGATGTACTCAAGAGTATCCTAGAAACACAACGGAAAAAACTGGAAGCAAGAGGGGGAAGAAACAGAGAAAAACTCACAAAATGCTAAGAAAACCAGACTTCCTTGGGGTCCAATACCGGACCCTCCGGTATGAGATTTTCTCCCAAAAAATTCTGCATGTGAAGCAATACCGGACCCTTCGGAATCGATGCACAACACAACAAATTTTTTCCCAAAGAATCCACAACAAATTCTATTCAAATGGTCTAAGAAAAATCCCAAACTTAGAACAGGGATTCCCTTTGGTATCTAGAAGCTTTCCACCGAAGATCATGACCGGTGATCACATAATCAAATAGGATCTAAAAACGAACCATTAAACGAGGGTTTTCTCAAACTTTCTCTCAAGGGTGCATTTTCGTGCTCGTGATGAATCTGTCCAATTCACTTGGCCGATATGTTCATCTAGGGTCCTTGCATGTATCCAAGCCCTCAAACCATCTCCAAAACCACAGGAACACAAAATCCAGGGGAACCAGAGAAGGAAAAACCAAATCCAAACACAAGCAAGAACTCAGATTCAGATCTCAGAGAGAAAGATTGATTTATTTCTGAAGATCAACAAAGTCTGGTTTGAAGACTTCAACAGATATGGTATAAATCTCCCGATTGCGGATCTCAACCGATGGACTTAGGGAAAACTAGACTGGAAACTTTCACTTATCGACTCCTCGAACAGTACTATACGAATCTGTACTGAACATTCCCCCCATAATACTACAAGCTCCCATAGCAATGCCGTATTTTGGTATAGGCATTTGATCATATAATCTCACTAAAGAAGGAGCCATTTTCATTGTTACCATTCGGTATGGATGGATATCATGAAATATCCGTCCCTGTTTTCATCCCTAGTTAAAGGGTGGGACAGAATGATGTGTGTGCATATCCAAGCTAGATAGATAAGCACATACATCACATTTGTGATGATATGTTTGTAGTATTGTATCACCCTGTGTATGCGTGCGTTATTGAAGGTAGTGAAATTCCAGCAGGTTTCTTCTCGGAGGATGAGCGAGAGAGAGGTTGGTATATATGTGCCATAATCATGCATATATGGTTCTTCTGCCTTTGTGCTCACGTGGGAATAAAGCTATAGCTAACTAATGACAAATGGTGACATGGAAACCTTGTGGCAACCAGGTGACAATAGGATCCTTATCAAGATTTGCTAACTAGCAAATTACCGGGGCTGACTGGTCCTTTTGTACATCCTTATCTTCATATGGCATTTAGCATATGTGAAAGGACAAAGCAGAAAGTTAACGAAAACCTTGTTGATATGAGCATTGCTCTCTCCTCTAGCCGGTTGGATGGGTCTATAAATATACACTACTACTCCACTAGCCTCACACATCCACAACAACACAACACATAACCATTTGATTGACAAGAAGTAAGTTCACCTTGGTGAGCTCAAGTAGTTTGTATACATTCCTGATCAATGATGATGTCTACTTCTCTTGCTAAGCTGATTCCCCTCCTTCTATATGTCCATATATTTGTGCATGCATATTGACTAAAAATATAATCCATCATCGAAGATGAGTTCCATTGTCATGGGTGCTACCGGTGGCAAGAACAAGACATCATGGCCCGAGGTGGTGGGCATGTCCATCAAGGAGGCGACAAGATCATTCTTAAAGACATGCCCAACGCCCACATTGAAATTCTGCCTGTTGGCTCGATTGTGACCCAGGACTTCCGCCTTGATCGCGTCCGCATCTTTGTTGATATTGTTGCCCAAACTCCGACAGTTGGTTGATATAGTGCATGCCTTCTTTGGATGATTTACCAAATAAACAAATGAAAGCCTAAGTTTATGTATCTTGGTTAATAAATCCTACCTTTCTTGGTTGTTCTCCATTGTCTTAGCTTATTAGCTACATCATCATCAAAAGGAGGACCAAGAAATTCCATGTATGGCTATCATGAAAAATGTAATCCTGATGGAATATATAATAAATAAACAATGATATATGCGATCATCACTTTGCCAAAATAGCACAAAAAAGATGCCTACAGTAGAGACACTAGAACAAAACACGTCGCTGATGTCAAATTAGAGACGTGGGTAAACCAAAAGCATCTTTGGTAATGCTGCTCATGTAGACATGCCCGAGAATAGCACTGATCAGAGAGAGCCATCTCATCTATCCACGTCCCGGATGAGAGGTCCCATCGCAGAAATATTTCAACAAGAGGTATCTCTGATGTGATCCCCATCACAGATGTGTGATCCAGGACGACAAACTCATTAGAGGCATGATTGTCGATACCCATCTCTGATGAGATCACAATACAGATGTGTGAATTCGATAACCTCATTAGAGATGCGAGTTTTAATATGCGTCTATGATGATTTGAGCCTCACAGATGCAAACATATTTCTGATGAGGTAACCATGGTTAACTGTCCAATTCTTTCTGCTCGTTTGAGCATGTGCTCATTCCCCACCCTGTCTTCTCCCCTCACCGTTTCGGCGCATCCTCTTCTGTCAGTGCCCCAACCGTCCCATGCACTCTTGCATCGATCTGTTGATGCGTGTGGTCTGCCACCCACACCACCTGCTCCACCACCCATGACACCAGTGGTGCCACACCGCCAAGTCGCCATGGTTGCACAACGTGGCCATATCCTCTACCAAGAAAATTGCTGCATTGACGCCAGACTTAGGTGAGTTTTTGTTTGTTTGTTTTTGTTGCAGGGGACTTAGGTGAGTTTCATGCTACCCAGGTTCTATGCTTGTATGCCCAAGTTTTGCCCAATGCAGCAAGTTGCTTCATCATCTAATAAATCCCAAATTGTATAATATCAGTTCTTCATGGAGGTTCAAGGCTCTTGGTAACATTTTTTTGATAAATTATTGGTGGGTTCTTGGTTGAGACTTTTTGGTGAGTCCTTCATGATAGCTCAGTTGTGGCTTTTGGTGAGAATAGGCCCTGATTGAATTGATGAAGAACATGCCCTGATTGAATTGACGAACTGTTCCAAGCAAAACCTCCCAACCATGGAGCACAAGATGCTGCTTACAAGGTCGTAGTGCATGAATCTTTGTTAGTTTCCTAGACAGTTTATCCATATTTCACTGGAATGGAAATATTTTTCTTTTCCCTTGTTACAACTGTTTAGGATGCTGATTGCTTTACTAGTCACATTGCTTTGCATTCAGCAAGATGGCGATGAGGACCTGTTGTGCCTTCTAGAAGCATGTGCATGTCTGATGTGCATTGTGCTATGTGTGATTTGTGAGCCTTGGAAACATGTACATGGGGGGTGGAAGGAGGCGTGCCTGAGGTGCAAGAAGGGACTCGGGCTAGCATGTTTCCATCTTGTCTGTGTGGCCACCTCCTTGTGATTGTGCTAGGGAGTGATCCTTTTATAGGCAAACTCTACACTACCAAAATGGTGGACTCCTAGTGTTTTAAGTAGTAATAAAACACTACCACTAGTCATAGCACATGGGAATATCACTAGGAGGCATTTAGTAGGGAAAATTTATACTAAATTTTGAATGCTAAAACACTAGGAGAAGCCCACCATACTAGGGGAAGTCTAAAATTCTGGTTGTGCTAGGATAGCGGGGGCGCTGTCCAAGGTGTGTCCAGACACTGCTGGCGGATGTTTCGAAGGAGCACTTCTCAAGTGGCGACCCTGTGTGCTCACTCAAAGCTGAGAAACTTCACTTGCAACTTTGACTATGTCATCAGGGTTTAAATGGCAGGTTTGCTTACATGCTACTCCCTCTGTTCCTTTTTACAAGGCGTGAGGAGTCTATTTCTAGATACCAAGCCCCATCAAGCATGCACGTGTATTCCTCCTCATACCATGATTAACCATAAGGGTTTCTCGGTTGGGTTCTAATGAAACTGGGTGCCCACGCCTCTCCATCTCAAGTTTCTATGCCCTTTTCCTCTACCAATTCACCAAAACGAAATCTGGGTGCCAGTCAAAATCTAAACAAGCTATATAGTGCCACTGCTCCTGCGAGAGTTCAGTTCTACTCTATAAATAGCATGTTGAGGACTGGACTCTTCATCTTCTCCGCTCTTCCTACTCAAAGAGGAAGAGAGTGAAAGCCAACACAATGAAATTACATTGATTCTCAAGTGTACATATAGAACATACATGCGCACACATTCAGTTAGAGCCTAATCTACCGGATCTGCTAACAGATATTGATGTGTACAATGAGTCTTCAGTAACAAGTGCAAGAATTAATATCGCTGCTCTAATACCATGAAAGAGGAAGAGAGTGTGATCCAATAGAACGAATTCCATTGATTCTGAAGTGTACTTATATAATGCATGAATATGTAGTAGTGTTGACTGTTGACCAATTTAGATATTGCCTTCTTATTGTTATTATTATGTTTGTATATTACCTCCTATTGTTACTTTTGTGCATTTGATATGGGCATGTACAACACATGATCTCTTTGATCTTTACATAATTCACATGAGCTCTTTGATCATTCGAGAATGCACATGAACTCTACTATTACATATGTACAACACTTGATCTGATTGCACATTTAGACACATACAACACTTAATCTGAACGCTATTAGTATGCCGTTGTCTTATCTAGTGTTAAAGAGTGTAATCTATGAAAAAATGACGTGTGTGCATATCCAGGATAGATAAGCACATCAATTATATGATGATCTGTTTGTAGTATCGTATCACAACATGTATGCTTGAGCTTTTGTAGGCAGTGGGATCCGACAGGTTTCTTCTTCGAGGATGAGAGAGAATGAGAGAGATGGATATGTTGCTATTGCTATATTTGTGTGTGTCATAATCATCTATGTAGTTGTTGTACCTTTGTGCTCATGTGGTAACAAAGCTAGCTAACTATTGACAAATGTTCATGACATGGAAAGCTCTTGACAATTAGATTACGATAGGATCCTTATTGGGGCTAGCTAACTATTGAACAAAGCAAGTTTGTTACCAGGGCTGACGAGTATTTTTGTGGGCATCCTTATCTTCATAGGGCATTTGGCATGTATGAATGTCCACTACAGCAAGTTAACAAAAACCATGTCGATATGCTGATCATTGCACTCTCCTCTGGCTGGTCGGATAGGTCTATAAATATACACTAGTACTCAAATAGTCTCACAGGGGCACAACAACACAACACATAGCCATCTTCATTGACAAGGCAGTAGTAAGTTCACCTCCGTGAGCTCGAGTAGTGAGTATACATGCTTGATCACTGTTGATCTCTACTTCTCTTGCTAAACTGATTCCCCTCCTTCTGGATGTCCATATATTTGTGCATGTAGATCGACTGATTATAATATAATCCATCATCGAAGATGAGTTCCATTGTCATGGATGCTACCAGCGGTGAGAAGAAGACATCATGGCCCGAGGTGGTGGGCATGTCCATCAAGGAGGCGACGGAGATCATTCTGAAAGACATGCCCAACGCGTACATTCAGGTGCTGCCTGTTGGTTCGCCTGTGACCCTGGACATTCGCCCCGATCGCGTCCGCATCTTCGTTGATACCGTCGCCAAGACTCCGATAGCTGGCTGATACAGTTCGACTTCTGCATGCCGTCTAAGGATGATGTACCCAATAAAGAAAGCCTACTTTTATGTGTATTTTCTGTTAATAATCATGCCTTTCTTGGTTGTCCTTGATTGACTAGCTTTTTAGCTACATCATAAAAAAAATCTGTCCACCACACAACCATGTGTTTTATGCAGTTTTATCGCATGAATTTTTTTGCACCATAAAATTAAGATCCAACAGCCTCTAGCCTTCTTCTACCTCTAGACAATCACAAATCACAAAATCACAGATCCACAGATTCATAGGATCACAAGAAACAATTTTTTCTATGCAAGGACAAAAGGACAAATCGGGCGTCGGACGGCGGTCCTCCGGCCGCACGCGTATACGCGTATAGGACGGGCGGTCCTTCGGCTGGCTGGCACGTTGGTCCTCCGTGGGAGCCGAGTTGGTCACGACGCTGCGGGAGTGCACGCGTATACGCGTATAGGCCGAGAAGACAGTTGAAAAGAGAGAGGGAGGGAGAGAGAAAAAATCCATATTTTTTTTTTGCTAAAACACATGTGTGTTGTATAGCATTTCTGAAAAAAGAAAGAGGAGGACCCAGAAAGCCCATGTATGGCTATCGTGAAAAATGTATGTTGATGGAATATATAAATAGACAATGGTATGAAATCATCTAATACTATGATTATGTCCATCTCATATACTTTTTCATGTAATAGTGGAGAACTATGCCCTTAGATTTTCATAATGAAGAAACTATCCAACAAGCTTAGCCATGGGTACAAGGTACAATAATACACATATGACTACAATTTTTAGTTTTAGTCATGGGTCCAATACACATAATAAGTAGGGATGAAAAGGTCCGGATATATCCCGTACCGTCCCACATCGTTTTCAACATTTGACCCACTCGATTTCGTATTTTTGGATAAATCCAAAATCAGTTCGAAATACGGTATGCCAAATTCAAAAATGGGATGAAAACGGTTTAGGTGTTATCTCAATTGTTTTCTACTTTTTAGGTTTTTATTCAGGATATCACATTTTTAAATACGGTATTATACTGTTTTTGGCCCACTAGAAGTCCAACTCAACTACGACAAGGTGCAACCTTAGAAAAATTATATCTTTTTGATATGATCATGGATGAAGATGACTTTTACATGAAAATTGTAGCTCTAGACGAGATCTACAACTTTTTAGTTTTGAGTTTTTTCATTTGAGGTTG